TATAGATCCTAAACTTTGAGGAAAAAAAAAGAAAAATTCACAATCTTATTTCAATAGGCTTTAAACCCTAAACCCTAGCGATACGGAAGCTCGAAAGCAGTATTAAAACAAAACAAAAATCATAATTCACAAAATATTAATAACATCATCGCCCAAATTTCGTACAAACCCTATAATAACTTATATCATCCAATTAAATAAAAATATAGTAAACAACAAAAGTTTAATTAAAAAACATAAATTTTCTCTCATATTGTTTTTACAAATTTACTAACCAAAATTTTAAAACCAATTTTTTGTGATTCAAGAATTTTGTGGTCCATCTGTTGATGTCGTTGAGAAAAATATCTCTCCATGTTTAACCAAATCAAATTATCAATAGGGTTTATAAAGTCTTATAATTGAGTTTATAAATATGTATGGATTTATAAGAGTTTATAAATGGGGTTATAAATAGTGAAATTTATTTTGACTAAACACATGAGCGTTTCTATCTTGTTGCTGTCGTTGAGGATGATGATGGCGATGATGATGGTAATGGTGTAAGTTCATTTTATTAAAGGTATAAAAGTAAAACTGGCATTAAAATGATGGTATTTTTGATTGAGTTTTAAAGTGGGTATAATTTTGAAAAGAGGTATAGTATATGATATTTTTTAGAAATTTCTCAAAAGTTAGTTATTTCAGTAACATATCCAATAGATAGGACTTATAAATATATTTTTAAAGATCATTTAAAAAAAAAAATTCCCACCTTTAAAGTTAGCAAAAAGAAAGTCAAAACCATAAAATAGATGTATATATTTCTCTTTCTCTTTTTCTAGACACCATATTTTCAATTATTGCTTTGAAACTTCCAATCCATTTCCTCTGGATTTTTAACTTGCTGAGAAATTAAATGAATAAAATTGAGTACTTCTAAATAGTTTCGAAGTTTGAACAGCTGAGTTCAGTCCGTATGCAAAAAAATCTTGAAATATACAACCCTAAAGTCAACAATCTGTTATCTATTCTGTTTAGTTACCGAAGCGGGTTTCGGTTTGATTTGGTAGAGTTTTGGCCATAACTTCCCAGTTGCTGTCGATCCAAAATCAAATCAAATATCAAAAGGTTATGAGTAGGAGACCCAAGCGAAGTTACCAACGAGGCATTGTTTTTTCGCCATCTCATGCTATGTCCTGGAGAAGAAAGTAAGACATTGTAACAGAGGGCCAAAGGAATTGTACGCAAGGAACGTAAATACGAGATATATGGTTTAAGGGGAAAAACGATAAAATCCTCAAATAATCCAGATTTCAATAATCATTGCCTGGAAAGGAACCGGATCAGTGCCATTAGTACACTGATTTATCCACAAATGGGACATGAACAAGAAACAAAACTTAAACTCGGGAAGCAGTATCCATCCAAGCAGCGACCTGTCTTTAGGTGAGATTCTAGCAATACAATCTGACTGCAAGAAGATAGATTCACATCAGCAGTAAAATCTTTTCACTTCAAAACCATTCTTTTGTTTTTTCCATGATGACGTTCTATATCGATCATGACAATAACCAAAACAGTGATTTCCATGATGACGTTCTATATCTGCGATCAAGTGAAGTTTTAAATAAAAAATTCCCAAAGTAGAAGAAAGAAGAAAATGTAACTTAGTGTATCAAGTTTGGGTTCATTTCTTGCTCTACAGGTAATAGCCATATATGTATAAAACCCTTCAAGGACGATTTTTTTTCTTTTCTTGATATTATGAGAATAATTCCTTTTTTTTTTTAACTTTTTGGTTGACAATCATTTCACGTGATATATGACTTCTAATCTGGTCTGTAATTTATTTTCATGATTTCAGTCGCTTGCATGCCTTAAGGACATGGATTTGGAGAAATCTAAAAACCTGAAAGAAATCCCGGATCTTTCTATGGAGATAAATCTGAAGACATTTAGGCCCTGTTCGTTTTTTGATCTAGATGCTGCATCAAAATTTTGCATATAGATCAGCATCTAGATATAATATCTAGATATTATTTGTTTTAGAAATTAGGTTTTGCATCAAGATGCTACGTCTAAATACTAAATTGTTCGTTTGTGAATTTAGAAAAATAGTTGGATGCAAAATACATCAAATGAATAAAAAGAACATATTTTTGAATTAATATTTTTAATAAATGATATTTTTATTAAATTAAGTTTTAAAAATATATGAAATTTTTCTTTTTTTGCATTTTTTGTGGGAAATCATGATTTTATATATTTGACGGAAAAATTTTTTACTGGAATTTTGAGTTTTTGATGGAAAATCTAGATATCATGTTTTTTGCGGGAAATCGATATTTTGCGTTTTTCGACAAAAACCGAGAGTTTTCGTTTTTGGTGAAAAATCGAGATTTTGCGTTTTTTGGCGAGAAATCGAGATTTTGCGTTTTCAGCGAGAAACCGAAGTTTTTTTTTGGCGAGAAATCGTGATTTTGCGTTTTTTATGAGAAACAAAGTTTTTTTCGTTTATGGCAGGAAATCGAGATTTTTCGTTTTTGGCGAGAAATCAAAATTTTGCGTTTTTAACGAGAAACCGAGAGTTTTTGTTTTCGGTGGGAAATCGAGATTTTGCGTTTTTGGCGAGAAACCAAGAGTTTTCCTTTTTTGGCAAGAAATCGAGATTCTGCGTTTTTGGCGGAAAATCGAGATTTTGCATTTTCGGCAGGAAACTGAGAGTTTTGTTTTTGACGGAAAATTGAAATTTTGTGTTTTTGGGGAGAAACCGAGAGTTTTCATTTTTTGGCGGGAAATCGAGATTCTGTGTTTTTGGCGGGAAATCAAGATTTTGCGTTTTTGGCGAGAAACTTAGATTTTTCGGTTTCGGCGGGAAATCGAGATTTTGTGTTTTTACGAGAAATCGAGACTTTGCGTTTTCAGTGGGAAACAGAGAGTTTTCGTTTTTGGCGGAAAATCAAGATTTTACGTTTTTAGAAAAAACTAGATGCAAACGCTGCATCTGAACTCTCTATTTCTCAGCATCTAAAATATCTAGATATTTGAGATGCTAATCAATTTGCATCCAGATGTTGCATCTGAACACAAATTTTTTTGTGAAAAACGAACAACATTTGGACATTTACAGCTAGATGCAGCATCCAGATACAGAAACGAACGTGACCTTAATCTAAAGGATTGCTCGAGTCTGGTGAAGGTGTCTTACTCTATTCAGAATCTCAATAAACTGACAAAGTTAAACATGGGGAAGGATGCAATTTGGAGACTCTTTTTGGTTTGTATAAACCTTAAATCTCTCTATCGCCTGGATCAACGGAGATGCTCACGCTTGAGGAGGTTTCCTGATATCTCAAGCAATATCTCAGTGCTCTTTTTAGACAAAACAGCGATTGAAGAACCCCCTGTAACTTGCATCTAAAAAAAACTCCTTAATCTTAGCATGCAACAGATCAAGAGTGAGATACTGTGGGAAGGAGAGGAGGTATTCTTTTTCTGCAGTTTGCATTTAATAAATGATTAGCCAAAAAGTTAATTTTCTCAGAAGAATGTTGACTTTATCTTAAATGGTACTCTCTGTTCTGAAATAATTGATGTTTTAAGGGTTTATTTTTGTTCTCAAATAATTGATGTTTTCAGTTCTCAATGCAAAATAAAATGAATTTTTTTTTTTGTATTTTGCAGATTGTTTTTTTATTGTTTGAATAAATACTAAATGATATTTTTAGTATAAAAACTATTAAAAATAAATAATTCCTTAATTTGTGTGCAAAAACTTTAAACATTAAATATTTCAAAACAGAGGTAGTAGTTATGAACTTAAAATGTGTGGTTTAGTGATAATGAATATTGAATAGACAAACCTAAGAGTTACAATATGCAAACGAGTAATTACATAAAGTAGCTACTTGTAGTTTGTTTCCCTCTAACACTTTTGATTTTAACATCTCTGGATTGTTTTTGATTCAGCCACTCACTCGCCTCATGAAGATATTGTCTCCCTCTTTGGCAGCCAATTTCAACAAACTCCTATATCTCCAATATCTCAAGTTTAGTACAGCAGTTTGTTAGATTCAGGGCCTTGGTTGATGTTGAAGCTATGTCCATGCCTGGTAGAGTAGATATCCAAGTATACTGTCGTTTTAGAGGCAGCTTGGAGAACCATTTTGATTCCCCTGGTCAGTTACATAATTTTGTGGCATTTCACAAGGCTAGTCATCTTCTTATATTCCAAGCATGTGGTATACGACTCTCTGAGGACTGTAGATCTAAGAAAAACCCACATGATGATCAAAATATTATTAGACATGTTTGTGTAGCTGGTGACAGATGAAGATGCAAACAAGGCTGGAGCAGCACGTGTAGCAGTCCGACTAGCTCTGGAACTGACACGGGAAGACTTGCGTAGCAATCTACACACGTGGAGGTGAGCTGGAAGCTGAGCTGGAGCTGTAGGACGTGCTGGACACTTCAAGAGACGAGAAGCTGACGTGGATAGGAAGCTTGGAGTATCTTGGAGGATCTATGAAGAAAATCTCAAGTTTCCTCTATCTTAGGAGAAGATAAGGAAGGTGAAGATTCTCATGAAGATTTGGTGTAATCAGAAGGAGAATCTAGGCGAGGATCAGCCGCAAGTCCTATTGAGTATAAATAGGCATGTTGAAGCTATGTAGGGTTTTAACACAACTGAGAGAATACTTAGCAAAGGGTGAGCGAAAATCTGTGAGAGTTTTTGTGAGCTAGTGTGCTAAGGGATTTGGGTGAGAGGTTCTTGAATCACGTATCGATTCAAGAACAAGTGAGACTAGTGTAGCAAATCAAGGTGTGTCTTGAGGTTGCTCTAAATCGGATTCTGTATACTTGTAAGTTACAAACAGATTTACTAGTGAAATATTCTTGAAGAGAAAATCCCTGTGTTGTGTTCTGTGTTAGTTCCCGTATTACTACTCTTTCATTTTCATTTGGTATCAGAGCAGTCATCTGTGTGTATTACAAACAGGTGAGATCCTGCGGAGAAAATGGAGAGCTATAAAGAAATGGTGAACAACTCCAGGATCATCCTGGATGATGGGAACTACGGGTTTTGGAAAGCTAGGATCAGATCCATGATCAAAGGGATCGATCCACTGGCATGGAAGGCAGTAACTGATAAATGGGAAGAAGCACTGGTAGCTGATGCCAACGGAGTCTTTCATCCAAAACCAGAAGAAAGTTGGACTGAAGAGGAGTTAAAAAGAGCAAAGTACAATTCAAGGGCGTTGACTACCATTCACACCAACGTTTCAAGAAAGACTTTTGAGCTGATTCAAGGTGTTGAGACTGCCAAAGAAGCATGGGACATACTTCAGATGCAGTACAAAGAAACAACAAAGGTTCAAAACTCCAGAAAGGACATGCTTGCTTCTCGCTTTGAGAATCTAAAGATGGAGGAGGATGAAACCATCTTAGAATTCAGTTCGAAACTGAGTGCTCTGGCACAAGAAGCAGCGGTGTTAGGCAAAAAATACAAGGACAAAAAGCTGGTGAAGAAATTTTTGAGGTGTCTGCCATCGAGGTTTATGGGGTACAAATCAGCACTCAGTGTGTCCAGTAACACAGAGAACATGCCATTCAGTGAACTTGTGGGCATGCTGAAAGCTCATGAGATGGAGCTAGACAGTCTGAAGAAGCCTAAAAGTCTAGCTCTAAAGTGTGAAAACCGTATCACTGAAGATGAGGAAGACGATCCCATAAGTCTTCTGGTTCAGAGGTTTGATCGTGCTTTGCGGAAAACTGGGAAACCTCAGAAGAAGGTTGCCTCCTTCAAGAAGACAACTGAAGGGGACAAGCCTAGCAGAAAGAGTGAGGTACAGTGTCATGAGTGCAAGGGATATGGACATTTCAAGAATGACTGCCCGACTATCAAGCGACGGGAGATTCAGTGCTATGGCTGCAAAGGATTTGGACACACACAGCTGGAATGTGTCAATGATCAAAATCGCAGGAAGGACAAGTCCATGTTGGCTGAGAAAGAATCAGATGATGATTCAGAAGATGACTCAGTCGAAGAGACAAACAACTTCGTGATATTTATCGGGATCGCTGAAATTGAGGAGGGACAAGAGTCAGAGTCAGAGCCTGAAGAAGAAAAGGAGGATGATCTCATGAGCAGCTACAAGGAGGTACGTCATGTCCTGGTTAGTCTCAACCAAGAAAACAGTGAGTTGAAGAAAGAAAACCAGAGACTGTCTGTACTAGTAGACAAGCTCAGCAAAGATCTCGAAGCAGCAAACGCACTTGGCCAAGGAAGTGTCAATCTGATCATGGAGAAGCTGGAGTTAGCCAACAAAGCTGAAGGTCTGAGGCAGCATTTAAAGGTTGAAAAGCAGATAACGGAGAAGCTGGAGTCTGAACTAGATCAGCTAAAGAAGCAGATTCATATGTTCGCAGGAACCAAGCAACTGGACAAGATCCTGAGCTACGGATGCCAAGGCAATACGAAGCATGGATTGGGGTACAGTGGAAAGGAACAGAAGAGCTCAGATGAAATCAAGTTTGTCTCATCAGGGTACAACCGGCCTGAAGATCAAAGACCTGTCACCAAACTGCGAAAAGGACGAGAGTACTATTACTGTGGCAAGATCGGACATATCAAGGCATACTGCTACAGCAGATGGAACAGGGTTCAGAAACTGATGAAGCAACGGAAGTTCAGTTGGAATGGACCCACAAATCAAGTCTGGCTCAGGAAAGAGGATTTGCGATTCGAGCCTAAGGGACAACAGAAGAAGAATTCCTTCAAGCCAAGAGAATTCACTGTTAAGAGATCTTTCAGGGATGATCCAATGTCAATGATGTGGCATGGATTCAAGTGCAACATGGCCCAAGTTAAGAGCGACGAAGACGAGTCAGATCCTTGGTACTTCGATAGTGGCTGCTAACGGCACATGACTGGAAACCGAAGCTACCTCCAAAATGTTAAGAAGATTAAGGGAGGAAGAGTCACGTTTGGTGATGGAAGTGTCGGTGCCATACAAAGAAAAGGCATTACAAAAGACGAAGGTCAGCCTGATCTAGTCAATGTATACTTAGTACAGGGACTTAAGGCGAATCTTATCAGCATAAGTCAACTGTGTGATGAAGGGGTAATTGTGATATTCACCAACAAAGGATGCAGAGCAGTGAATGATGATGGACAAATTATCCTAGCTGGAGAAAAATCAGGCAACAACTGCTACATGTGGAACAAGTCAGGGTCGGTTATGAGCTGTTTTACTGCCAGTGATAATCTGCAGCTGTGGCACCAGCGACTCGGCCACATGAACATCAGGAATCTCAATGATCTCATCTCAAAGGAGAGCTTTAGAGGAGTTCCAAAGATCAAGGGAGGAGATAAGTTTGTGTGTGGAGCATCTAACCAAGGCAAGCAGGTGAAAGTCCAACACAAACGAGTACCTGACGTACAATCCAAGGCACCACTTGATCTAGTTCATATGGATCTGATGGGGCCAGTTCAGACAGAGAGTTTGGGAGGTAAAAAGTATGTGTTTGTGCTGGTTGACGACTTCACAAGATTCACATGGGTTAGGTTTCTCCGAGAAAAGTCTGATACGGCGGATAGCTTCAGAATCTGGGCTTTACAACTCATGAATGAACGAAGCTCAATCAAACGAGTCAGGAGTGATCATGGGGGAGAGTTTCAGAACGAGTTCATGAAGTTGTTCTGTGAAAGTCATGGAATAGCACATCAGTTTGCTGCACCCAGAACTCCACAACAATACGGTGTAGTGGAACGGAAGAATAGGACACTTCAGGAGATGGCTCGTGCGATGATTTATGGGAATCAAGTTCCAAAACGTTTTTGGGCAGAAGCAGTCAGCACAGCATGTTACATAATCAATCGAGTGTACATGCGAAAGGGAACATCGAAAACTCCTTATGAACTGTGGAAAGGAAAGACGCCTAACGTAAGTTACTTTCATGTCTTTGGATGCAGGTGCTACATCTTGAATGACAAGGATCATCTTGGGAAGTTTGATTCAAGGAGTGATGAAGGAATCTTTCTGGGTTACTCAGGTCATAGCTCAGCCTTTCGTGTGTTCAACATGAGAACAAAGGTTCTGGTTGAGTCAGTAAATGTGGTGTTCGATGACTACGCTCAGATGGAATGGGAGAAGCCTCTGATCGGGAGTGATTCTGAAGGTGACGAAGGTGATCGGGTAACACAGACAGCAGAGGCAATGCAACAGCCATCTGTGTCAACCGAAGAGCCTCAGATCGTGACTCAGGAGAACACAAAGCAAGTTCATCGGAATCATTCAGCCTCAGATATCATCGGTGAGGTGAATGAAGGGAGGAAGACTCGTGGCATTCAACTGGATTTCAAGAAAATGGTTGGGAAGTTCTCTGAGATGGTGCTATATTCCTGCTTTGTGTCAGTGATTGAACCGAAAGATCACAGACAAGCGTTGCAGGATGAGTTCTGGATTGTTGCCATGGAACAAGAACTCGAGCAGTTTGTTCGAAATGACGTATAGGAACTAGTGCCACGACCGATGGATTGCAACATTGTGGGAACTAAGTGGATTTTCAAGAATAAAATTGATGAGAATAGAGCAGTGGTTCGGAACAAAGCTCGTCTAGTGGCTCAGGGATACTCTCAAGTAGAAGGTGTGGATTTTGAAGAGACATTTGCACCTGTGGCACGGCTTGAGTCAATTAGACTCTTTCTGGGAATGGCATGCATACTCAACTTCAAGGTATATCAGATGGATGTCAAGAGTGCTTTTCTGAATGGTCTGATTCAGGAGGAGGTTTATGTTGAGCAGCCGAAAGGGTTCGAAGATGCAGGCAACCCAACTCACGTATACAAGCTCAAGAAAGCGTTGTATGGTCTGAAGCAGGCACCCAGAGCCTGGTACGAACGATTGACGAGCTTTCTAGTTCACGAAGGTTACATGAGAGGCAGTGTGGACAAAACCTTGTTCATACTAGAGAAGAAAGATAAGATTATGGTCGTTCAGATTTATGTGGACGACATAATTTTTGGAGGGACCTCTCAGGAGCTAGTCGATGCTTTTGTTGGAAGCATGACGAGTGAGTTTGAGATGAGCATGGTGGGAGAGCTCAAGTACTTTTTGGGACTTCAGATCACACAATCTGAGGAAGGTGTTTTCATATCACAAAGCACCTATGCCAGAAATCTCTTGAAGAGATTCAAGCTTGATTCAGCCAAAGAAGCAAAGATCCCAATGAGCACAACCACCAGCCTCACGCGAGATGATGAGGGAGCAAGTGTCGATCCAACCCTGTATAGAGGAATGATTGGGAGTCTCCTCTATCTCACGGCAAGCAGACCAGATCTGTGTCTGAGTGTTGGCATCTGTGCTAGGTACCAAGCTAAACCTAAGCAATCGCATCTTGAGGCGGTAAAGAGGATCATCAAGTACGTCAAGGGCACAGTTGAGTTAGGCATCTGGTACTCAAAAGGATCGAATCAGAACCTAGTGGGATACTGTGATGCAGATTGGGCAGGAAGTGCTGATGACAGGAAAAGCACCAGTGGTGGGTGTTTCTTTCTCGGAAACAACCTCATCTCGTGGCTCAGAAAAAAGCAAAACTCGGTGTCCCTCTCCACTGCTGAAGCAGAACACATTGCCATGGGGAGCTGTTGTAGCCAACTACTGTGGATGAAGCAGATGTCCGCTGACTATAGAATGGATTCAGGTCCACTTCTTGTGTACTGTGACAACAAGAGTGCTATAAGCATTTCCAAGAACCCAGTACAACACTCAAGGACCAAGCACATCGACATAAGACACCACTTTATCCATGAGTTAGTGGAAGGAAAACAGGTAGTGATCGAGCATGTTGTCACTGAATCTCAACTGGCTGATTTATTCACAAAACCACTGGAATTTAATCGTTTTGTCACCTTAAGAAATGCAATTGGTGTTTGTGGAATTTAACAAGTGTTTTGAGATGTGCAGAACTGATACAGGTACAGGCTCAGGATGATCATAACGTTTCGATTCAGCCTTGAGGGTTAAAGGTTGGAGAAAAAGAGCTACTTATCTTGTCGTCATGACTTGACATCAGTACAGGTTTCACAGAGAGAACCAAACAGCCTGAAAGCAATGTAAGTCGGTCTTTGAGAAATCGCAATGATAAGACTGAGCTACAGGATAATCTATACTTCAGAGATAGGTCTTACATCAAAAAGAAGACCTGTCCAAAGCTAAAAGAAAAAAAAAACAAGGCAGAAAAAGAAAGGAAGCTGCCAAGTCACAGTGTATCCAATAAAAAAAAAATACACTGCGACAAGTACCTAAGGTTCTCTCTTGCTGAATAAAGATTGAAAACTGGTGAAGAGCATGATAAAGACAAGATAGTGTGAAAGCAAGTCTCAGTATCAAATCTGGCAAGGCACAAAGAATCAAGAAGAAGCGGAGTGATCATTCGAGTCATGTGCTGAATCAGCTTATGTGTCATCTGTGAATCTGGGTAAATAAGCAAAAACTGTTTTCAAAAGCTAGTTGAGGTGTGATGAGGTGAACGGTTACTATTTATGTTAGCCATCACAAAATTCTTCGGTTTAAATGTGTCAATGACTGTCGTGTTCCTTGTGATGTACTAATGAATGTTCTTGTGCTAGGAAAAGACTTGTCATGGTTAAACAGGAAGTGGGCCGTGGACAAATGATGCTCATGTAGACAGGCCCAACAGCAGCCCATGAGGAAAAAGGGAAATCAAATAAGGAGAGGGAAATCGAAGCGATGTTGCTATATTTGCAGGAGAGGAAGAGGAAGAGACGCTACATCGAACTGTTCGAAAATCCTAGGTGCAGAGAACTTGTGTGATTCAATTCAAAGCATCTTGGTCCAGATCGGTGAATAAAATGGTGTCTGCAACACGAAGAGGGCTCAACGGAAAGAAATCAAAATCAAAGATGGCACATGCAACAGGTGATGCTTCGTCTCCTCACTTAATCGATAAATCGAGTGGAGAATATCAAAACCTGCCGGTGACTCAGAGCGAGGGAGGAACAGAGGCTGGAACGGTGGCCAAAAGCGAGAGCGAGTCATTCGCTACAGCAGATGAGGGCAGAAATTCCTCGACCAAATCCCCAGATGAAAATCAGCCTCCCGACGAAGTCCAGGTCGAATCGGTGGCACAAGAAAGAGGAACAAGAGGCCACGGAAGAGCCTGGAGTAGAGAAGGAAGAAAGCCCAGAAGCAGCAACTGAGATGCAAGAAGCCGAACAATTGCGAGAACACGAAGAGGCAGAATCAGAAACTCAGACAGCAGCTGATCCCGTGGGCAACGATAAGGAGATTCTTGAGGACGACGAGGGAAGAGATTTGCTGTCTCAGACCGACGAACTACCGGAGGAGATGTCGGTTCAGGAGCAGATTGATGAGTGATGTGTGCTTGTGTGTGGGTTGTCAAGTTTTACCCTAATTGAAATCAATAGCCGCAAGTGCACAGCTGATCAATTGTAGTACTTAGGGATCGAATCCACAGGGAAGGAGGATCTTTTGCTGCAAAAAGCCTTTGAAAATAAGTTAAGTAAGGAATTCTAGAACTAAACGGTTTAATGGGGGTTTGGTGGTGTCTTTAAAATGTTAAAAACGAAATCTTAAAAGAGAATACGGGAATTAAATGGCGTAATAACTAAACTTAACGAAAGTAACTAAAAATGCGGAAAACGGATATTCTAATGCTTAAATGAAAATGAACTAAAAAGGAAAGACAATATTGAACTAAAGCTTAAAGAAAAATCGCAGGAAATCAATGGAGAAAAGGCGTTGGGCTTTAGGGAAGTTTTCTCAGGGGTACGAACGATTCAAAACATTGCTAGAGAGAAAATTTGATAAGATCTTAGCTTAAAATTTTTGAACTGGAGTCACGGACGTATGAATACGCCACTATCGTGATCATA